GGCCTTTGCTGGCAGAGGGACATCATCTAACCTTGCTAACTGTGTTGACAATGTTCCCAACACTACAACCGGAGAGTTTCAAGCAGACCACGATTCTGCTCGCTTCTTCCTCCCAGCCGATTCCATCAACACTTCATCTTCCTCTCTGCAGCTCCTTCCAGGCGAAGCACAGGTCTGCTCTGACCTGCAGCCAGAGTCCCTTCATCTGCGGCCACTGCATGATGGAATAGCATCATCCTCTTCATTAGCAGCATCCCGTGGTGGACCGGTGGACCAGCTTGCACTGGAGTTCCAGCGAAACATTTTGGGATTACAGACCTTCCCTCGTTCATCCAGGGGTGGCGCCGGTGGGTGCCAAGCATTCCGGCGCATCGCTCCCAAAGTTCCACCAGGAGGTGCTTCAACACTTACAGACAGCCCTCAGCAGCATGATGCTGCCTCCTCGTCCTCTTCCTCCTCTGTGCTTCTTAATGGAGTAAACTTAATGGAGAGTTCTGTTAGCGTAGGTCAAAATATTGGCAGCTCCAACTTGAACCCGCTACCCCAGTTGACAAGAGCCTCTGCAGATGTTCTGTCAAAATGTAAGAAGGCACTCTCCGAGCACAACGTGCTAGTGGTTGAAGGCGCCAGGAAGTATGCCTGCAAGATCTGCTGTAAGACGTTCCTCACTCTGACGGACTGCAAGAAACACATCCGAGTTCATACGGGAGAGCGCCCGTACGCCTGTCTGAAATGTGGCAAACGCTTTAGTCAGTCCAGTCACTTGTACAAGCACTCGAAAACAACCTGCTTACGATGGCAGAGCAGTGATATGTCTAACGCCCTGCTCTAATTCAGCGCAACCGCAGGCACTCCAAAGGCACCATAGGATGCATACAGATCTGTACACTGTAATCTCACATCCACCATTATAGTAGGTATAGTAACTTTTTTTAGGTGTTTCATGGCTGTAGTATGTTGTTAACATGCTTCCAATTAACATGCCATCGATGGTACAAATTCCAGAGATAGTTCACACAGAAATGTTTTTACATTTTTGTTTGGTTGGGGTTTTTTGTTCATACAATGAACGTCAATGGGGTCCAATGTTTTTTCTTTTTTATGGACAAATACGTTTGAATCATTCTTTCATCCTGCAGAACGGATAGTAAAGTCATACAAGTTTGGAACATGAGGGTGAGTAAATGATAACAGAATTTTCATTTTTGGGTGGACTGTCTCTTTAAAAGTTTCACTGTGAAATGTTTTTATAAGAACTGAAATGGAGAGGTCTGCTTTAGGAGTTGCAAGCAGATGTCAGACAGAACCTTAGTAGCTCAATCCTGTGTCCTGATGATAGAAGCTTGCTGTGGAAGTCAGAATTGTATTGTCAGCTGTGTACTGTTGAAGTATTTTAGCTTCTGAAGTTGTCTGTATATTCTGAACTGGAGCATCAAAAGGAGATTCAATGATTTTTCATTTAGGTGCACGTTTAGGCCAGTGGTCTTCGACCATGGGGCCCACTAGGTGGCCTCTGCAAACTTCCAGGAGAATCCCAATAAGTCTTAAAATGATTTAAATTTAGTTTATTAACGTAATCTTGATAATTTTTTTTAAACAGAATTACAATATTAAACTGACATCATGTTTTGGACTTAATTATGATAGAAGTGCATATCAACTTTGAATATTGTCTCAAGCTTAAGTGGGGTCCTGCGTCAAAAAGGTTGAGAAGCACTGCCTTTAAGTTACAGTGGTTTAAGTTACAAAACTACGTGAGCTGCCTGCCTGACTGTTTACAGTCTATATAGGCAGCCACTAAGGCAGCATCCTTAGAACTCAAATGAAACCTCACATTGGAACATCTGGAAGGAACATGGGCAGTTGCACTTTTGTGTTTCCCCAAGAAACACTCATAAAACTTTTGCATTTTCTCGCAAAATGTTTGCCTTAATTTTGCCCAAAAAAACTTTGCGTTATGTATTAGTGGTTTTGCCTTTGCTAACACAAAGTTTCTCAGGTGAACTGAAACCTTGCTACGTTTTTAGGGAGAACACAAAACTCAAAAGCAAAAGCTTTGAAATATAATTGTTCCTCCCATCTCCATTATCCATTTATTATTTATTATACAGGGCCCCTGTATAACTTAGTTAATTCCAAAGGAGTCTGACCCAAAGTCCATTTCAAGGAAAGTCTATGGTCAGCTATTTAAGTGCTATTTACTTGAATTGAGAAAACCTAACATTTCAAAAACTTTCCACATAACATATTTCAAATCGGCAACCAAGTCTGACATTAGCTGTCCCATTATACTCAAAAAGCTCTAAGTCTCTATGGCAGCCGGAGATTTTATTTAGAAGGTGCAAATTATTCCGCCATATTTTGCATTGCACTTTCTCCCATTTATAGTAACGAGTGCACCTTCTTGGTTTATCTAAAGTAGGGGTGCAAAACTCAGTTCCTGGATGGCCACAGCCCTGCAGAGTTTTTCTAGTATTACATTCATTGTGTGCGGGATACATGTGATGCTGCTTTAGAATTAGGCCAGAACCAAAGATTTCCTTATGGTTCAGTCTTCACATCAAGATAATGGCTATGATGTCTTAAAATACTGTCTAGGGCAGGCTGTCAGCTTACTAGGTTTTGGAACACCGCAAATATGTAGATGAATAACCTACCACAGTCACTACTGTTACACTTTTACTGTTACAAGGTCAGTTAAACTGATTTCTATTATAAGACTAATCTTTTGACCATATGTGGAAATATGAGCAGAACTGCCCTTGTTGCCTATATTTCCCTAAACTAATAAACACTTCATTTCTTGACTGTTGATTAACACAAAATGATTCTTATTTTCTATGGATGGTAATCATTATGTTGTATTCTTGAAAATATGAATACGGTAAGACATAAAATATGTTCCCTTTGCACAGAAGAGGTAATTGTAGGAACATTTTTTACTAAAGCACTGTGTATTTGTGCCTGTTTCTGTTGTATTCAGATTTTTTTTTTTACAGTATGTTGACAAAGGCAGATATAAATCATGCACAGAGCACTGCATAAATAGACATTTAGCCTGACATCCTGAGACCGTCTTCTGTTTTGCTTCTGGTAATGCTGATCTTGATGCCCCTGTGGCTGAAATTGATATCAGCACTGAGAGAATGTTAGACTACAGTGTTTATGGGGATGCATTTTCCATATAAGCATTTCCTAAAGAACGTGCTTACTGACTAAATTCATGTTGATGAATTTTAACGGAAGCTACTGGTGATGAGGTTGTCACTTTAAAAAAGGCTGTTACATTCATGTGTCTCTTTTGACCTTCCAGTGCACAGAGAAAACCTTTATGTAAAAATTGCACCTTCAGTCTTTAAGGCTTTAATGTTTTACGGTTTGTGGAGTAATACATGCTAATCAAATCGAATCTTAAAAATGAACCTGCTGTAAATGAAAATAGATGTTCAGTCATTGTATTAGTGGTTGTTAAAGGAAACTGTTAGGGGTAATATAACAGTTTTGTCCTAGTAGTTTGTGAGGAGTCTTGTCTTCTGTGGTGTGTTTGATGCTGTACTTAAATACTCAAACTAAGTATAACCGTTAAGATTTAGAAGCTGCTTCATTAAACACATTCCAAAATGTAAATAAGCTGTTACTGCAGAATTTAGCATTTTATTTATGCCATCTTTTATTTAACTGTAGTAATGTTTTTTTTGCTTTGTGGTAAATATTGCCCTTGTTTGATTGGATGGACTCAAAGATTCTGAATATGAAAAATCATCACCTTAACCCCTCATTCAATTCTAAATAAGACTTTAAAATGGAGACCTTTAAGTCTAAATTATTGTCCTTTGTTATTATTTTTTTCCTTCACATTATTCATAAAGAATGTATGATTATAAGATTTTTTTTTTTTTT